AGTGCCATGGGTCGTAAAAAATCTTCTGAATCTTCTTTGACGGACTCATCCATGTTAAAGCTTAAAGTTCATCCTCTTCGCCACGGTAATATCTAATAATTTATTGCGTAATATATTGTGAGACCAAAAAATATCTGATGACAAATTACAAGGCAAAAAGGCAAAGCACGTATTGATAGTTATATCAATCGGGGTTGACTGATTTCAGAACAACCCATGATCAAAGGGAATAATGTTCTCAAACATATAAATAAGCATCTGTGCAATCATCTGAATGAATATCGTCAATATTAGGAACTAAACGTTCACACTCTTCTCTGATTGGTGCCTCTAAAAAGTCTGCACCATATGCCAAGACACCAGAATAGCTACAATCCTGGTCAAAGCATTGACGACACTCTGTGTTAATTGACACTACAGTCAGCAGTCGCGGGGTTTATTTCAAAATTCTCCCCCTTTCCCCCACAAATCAATGTTGAGTGATGTGTCATAACTCATTCAAGCATTTAGCATTGATTCAACATTGATTAGGGGGGCGAGGGGGGAAACAAAACAGAAATATTAATATTTTGCGTAAAAAAGTACAAATCATTCAGAGTGTAGTCGATGGTTTTGGCCAGGATTGTAGCTGCCCTGCAACTCATCTTCAGAAACAGTCCAACCTAGGTATTTGTTTATACAAAAATGGTGTTAGTAACAGCTAACTGACAAAAATTGAACAATAATTTTTGACATATTGATTAATTATGATTTAAGTAAAATGTTTCGGGTGATGTATGGATGATGTACTTGATGCCTATGGTACCAAGCCTGCAAAATGCAAGATGCAAAATAATATGAGATGCAAAATGCACAGGTTTTGTACCCAGTCATAGCCAGGTTCAACTTGTTTCAAAGTAAATGGGACATTTCTGAAATTTTACATACCACACTCCTCTAAACTATATTCTTCTGGAAATGAATATATCTGATTAGGGACGCTCAGTATCTTGGTACCTCAGTATCTTTCTGTTGGCGGATTCTGTGTGTGTTCCAGATACTATCTTTAAAAGTATTTAGCTCTTTTTGTAGAAATACAATCAGTATAAATGCCAGTATCATCCTTAAAATATGAAAATAACATTAAATATGAAATATTCCGAGGGATATTCCTATTTACAAAGAACGCAATTATTAAAGGCAATTATATATGTCAATGGACAAATTGATAGAATACAGAAATGTTGAGTTTGAGTTTTGATTGTGTGTTGTGCGTAAAAAGTCTTGCGTCCTGGTTTTTAACAACTTGCATCAACATGATGATTTTTACGCGTGTACGCCATCTTGGATGCGCCCGCAAGTCACATCAATGTACTTGGTGTAAGTTTCATAATGTAACAATTATCAGCTAAAAGACTTGTTCCATCAAATGGAAAAAGTTTAAAAAGTTTAAAAGGAAAAGAATATGAATCCAAATTAAATTAGGTTTAATCTTAAATTAGGTTTATTTAATAACTTTTTCAATATGTTTGTTTGAAAAAATATGAAAGGGAAAAACAACTGTATGGTGGCCGATAAAATAAAATCAAAAAAAGAATCAAAATTAAAACAAGAATCAAAATTAAATCAAAATCAAAACAAGAATCAAAATCCAAACGAGAATCAAAATCAAATCAAAACAAGAATCAAAGTCAAATCAAACTCAAAACAAGAAAAATGATTTTACAATTGTGAATAGAAGTGAATATGAAGTGAAATTTTATCGCCCTAGCGCTATCACAGTATACCATAAAGCATTGCACACTATTTCCTGTGCGGAAAGTACGGCATATTAGCATTTTATACATTAGGTATACAATATGGCAACTGGCTCATATTCTAGAAATGATTCTTGGCAAAATGATACAAAATTAGAAGAAGATATGAAAGCCTTCGTACGTCAAGGTATTCAACGCAAGGAGATGTTAGACTTTTTGAAACCTGATTTCCCGCAATATGCCTGGAGTATAGCAACCCTTGATAGACGCCTTCGACATTTTAATATCAGATACATAAACACAAATATATCTATTGAAAATGTGCATGATGCTGTATCGGGCGAACTCCATGGCCCAGGTAAACTCCTTGGCTATCGTGCAATGCACAAGAAGATTAGACAGGAGCATGGACTGAATGTGCCAAGAGATCTTGTTCATGCCGTGATGAATGACCTCGACCCTGAAGGTCTCGAAGCGCGTGCTGTAGGTGCAAAGAGGAGGAAACCTAAAGGATGTTTCTCAAGCAAAGGACCAAACTGGGTTCATTCATTAGATGGACATGATAAACTAATGGGGTACCAGAACAGTACTTTTCCTTTGGCTGTTTATGGGTGCATGGACACTTGTAGCAGGAAATTGCTTTGGCTTCGTGTTTGGACGAGCAACTCCAACCCTAAGCTGATTGGACGCTGGTATCTTGAATACCTTTACGAAACCGGAGTGATGGGTTCCTACTTGAGAGTGGACAAAGGCAAAGAGACTGGCGACATGGCCACAATGCATGCTTTTCTAAGGCGCAACCACGACAACACTACAAATGCTTGCGACACGGTTCTTTATGGACCATCTACATCCAATCAGGCCAGGGTGCATAAATATTTATATGCTGCTTTATTATTATTATTATTATAAATAAGGTTAAATGTCAGTTGAGTTTATACAGTATTATTTATGTTAGCGTAAACCTGAACATTTTCAGTGAGGACTTTCAAAAATACCTTTACATTTGTAAGTGCTTGCAAAAATCTGCTTAGTCCGAATCACCAATCTTAATTCCATGTGCAATTTGGGATGTGCACTTCATAGGAAGTGCACAATTAACTACAATTGGGCATTTAAATATTAACTGTTGTTATTGTTACTTATGTCCAGATTGAAAGGTGGTGGAGGAAAGTACACAAAGCACAACCCTCTCAACTGAAGGGTGAAGATCTTTACGATCCACACAGTGAAAAGGACGGGTGAGTTTTTTATACCGAATATACTGCATCTCATGATGTAAGTGGTTTAATGTATATAGATAATATTTCCGAGTTTGAGTTTTGGTTGTGCGTTGTGCATTGTGCCGTGGGTAAAAAGTCGTGGGTCGAAAAATTGCTCTAGATTTCCATTTTTTGCTCAGACACTGCCATGCTATAAACTAATTTCTTTTTTAGTGAATGCATGTAAGCGATCAAATACCCAACTGAATATTTAACTGAAATTCTTTGTATTATGCATTCGAACTGCGAACTAAAATCAAGAACGCAGCAGGATATTGTTCAGGCAGCAAGTAACTAAAAGGAATGTGGTGACGCAACTAAAGGTATATAAAACCGGCGTAGTTTCGGCTGCTTTCACTTGATCAAGTTATAATTTTGTTTCAGAACAGTAGCGAATGACATTCCACTGGGCAGAAAGCTTCACTTATTATAAGATTAGTAAGATAAGATTTATATACCAAGGCATATAATGCTCATGTTGAGCATATTAATATGAACTTTGTGTCGGATTACTAGGTGCTTTACACATTGTAATTATTGTTTCCTTTAGTTGCGTCACCACATTCCTTTTAGTTACTTGCTGCCTGAACAATATCCTGCTGCGTTTTTGATTTTAGTTTGCAGTTCGAACACATAATATGAAGAATTTCAGTTAAATATTCAGTTGGGCGTTTGATCGCTTACACGCATTTAGCTAAAACAGAAATTAGTTCATAGCAAAAGCAGTGTCTGAGCGAAAAACGGAAATTTATTCCATGAATTTTTAACTATGACACACGACTTTTTATCCACGACACGACACACAACCAAAACTCAAACTCGGAAATATTATCTATATACATTAAACCACTTACATCATGAGAGGTATTAACATGATGCGGTATATTTGGTATAAAAAACTCACCTGTCCTTTTCACTGTGTGGATCGTAAAGATTTTCACCCTTCAGTTGAGAGGGTTGTGCTTTGTGTACTTCCCTCCACCACCTTTCAATCTGGACATAAGTAACAATAACAACAGTTAATATTTAAATGCCTAATTGTAGTTAATTGTGCACTTCCTATGAAGTGCACATCCCAAAATGCACATGGAGTTAAGATTGGTGATTCGGACTAAGCAGATTTTTGCAAGCACTTACAAATCTAAAGGTATTTTTGAAAGTCCTCACTGAAAATGTTCAGGTTTACGCTAACATAAATAATACTGTCAGGGGCGGCGGAACATAATATATTTTGGGGGGGCTAATTTCACGAGGCGCCACCATGGTTGGCGCGGAGCGAAATTTTTTTGAATTTCAATGCTCTAGATCTTCGGAAATGGCCATTTCAGAGTCTTACTTGCCGCTCTCATCGTAGTTTTTCATGGGCAAACACAAACTGAAAACAGCACAGCGCGTGTAGTGATATCTTTTACACTTGAAAAATCGTTAAAAATCTAAAAAAATACGGATATACATGCATAGATCATTTTATCTCTTTAATACTCCGAATAAATAATGATAAATGGTGAGCAATCTAGGCAAATTATAGTCAGTAGCCATGACATGTTACATGTAGTATACGTTTTATATCTTTTTAATGTATAGCTCATGCATAACACTAACAAATAACAATATATAATAAATGTTTGTTATAACTTCTGTTCTATATCAATGTCTTCACAGTTTGTCAGTCAAATTCGCCAAAGAATGCCTTTCTTCGATTATTGGCTTCAATAAAACTTTTTGCAATTCTTTTCAAATCAAGTTGGTCGACCATTTCTTTGTAAATGTGCAATAACATAATGTGGTTTAGCCTCTTTTGTGTCATGCTTGACCGCAAGTAGTTCTTTAGAATTCGAAGCGCCGAGAAGGTTCTTTCCGCTGTTGCTGACGACATGGGGATTGTTAGATAAACACGTAAGATTCGGTGAACTTCGCTGAACATAATTTTTGAAAATTTACACTTATTCATAACATCACAAAGGGTGTTTATCGATGTGACTCTCTTTATTCCGAATTGATACTATTCATTAGCAGTCTTGATTAAATCTGGTAGCATCGTCAACTGGACTTTGAGACGCTCAACGTTTACATCAGTGGAGTACTTTTCTAAAAACTCTTCGGAAAACTGAACAGTAACACCATTACACGGGTTCAAAAGCAACTGTTCTATCTCATTTATTATCTTAAAAGAGTTTTGATCAAAACGCCTTTCGATTTCAGCTGTAAGAAGATCTAGAACTTCAAAATATTGTTTCCTGTAATAATCTTCTGGGGTAGAAAATTGATGATTAGCAGACCCATCATCGAATCTCTTTGGCATTTTTCTTTGTTTAGGAAGTGTTGGAGGGTCAGTTTGATCTTTTGCTTCTGAAACGACCGAGTGATAAAATGCTGCGAATTGATCATCAGATCGATGCCTCTTAAGAAAACTAAGTGCACTCGCAGCTGCAGAGTTTGCTTCTTGTGCATTTAGATCAACGCTTTGCAATGTCTTTGAAACTTCCTCCATTGCGCTGAAGACCATAAAGGATAACTTTAAACCAAAGAACGTGCTGAATTTTTCCATCAGAGCCCTCAAGCCAGAAGATTTATTCGAGGATTCATCGTTAGAATCTTTACCAACAATGTCCAATTCTGTATATATAACTTCATAGTTCCTGATAATTGCGTCTAGAGCGCCGGTACGAACAGTCCACCTTGTCGGGCAGAGAGGCTTGATACCAGGGGTCTGGAGATTCATCTCGGCTTTTATCTTCTTAAAAAGCCCTAATCTTTTGGGTGAAGCACGAATTAGCCTAGCCAGTTCTGATGCTAAGCTTAACGCATTATTTACACAATCACAAGAACTAGCACAGTCCTGCAAGCACAAGTTCAAAGAGTGAGCCAAACAGTGAACATACAGTGCTCTTGGTTCTTCTCTGGTGATTCTGGTAGAGACTCCAGAAATATGACCAGCCATGTTTGATGCTCCATCGTAGACTTGACCACGACACTGAGACAACAGTAGGTTACAACGTAACAGAACATCTTTTAGGGTGGAGGTAAGTGTTTTTGCATCAGTCATTTCGACTTCTATTAGGCCAACTAGATCTTCATGAATTGTGTAAATGTCATCAACCCATCTTAGTGAAACTGACAGTTGCTCTGAGCCACTTATGTCTCTTGTTTCATCAGCTATTAGAGCGAACCACTCGGCTTGGCGTACATCATGGAGGAGCGTCCGTAGCACTTCATGTGCCATTAGCTGAATTAACTCATTGATGATATCATGTGACTTGTATGAACTGTGTTTTAACCAATCTTTGATAACCGGAACATCTTCTGAACGGCACTTTAAAAGTTCGATTAAGTTACCTTCATCATCTTTGTGCCCTCTAATGCTTGATCCTTGTCGCACTAGGTATATCAGGGAAGACAATTGTTTTAGTAGAGCCTTCCTTCGTTTAGCTTGTTCGCTAGCATGTTGCGACGTAATTTGTGCAGAAATGCTAGGTTTTTGAAGGGCTTGAAACTTAAAAAATGCTTCTCGATGAGTTTGAGACTTCTCATGTTTTCCAAATTTTTCATTGGCTTTCTTCCAGTTGTCGAATCCTTTGCTGGTGAAAGAATCTTCACAATTCTCGCTAAATTTTATGTCTCTACTGCAAATAAACCGACAATAGAAGCAAAATATTTTTTTCCGTGACACACAAAATGATAACCAGTTATATGTCTTATACCATTCAGGCCGAAACGACCGGTATTGACTATTTTGAAATTTCTTTGTTATCTTTGAATAGTTCACATTCGGTTGGTATGGTTGAGTCTGTTCAAGAATGCAGCATTCTCCATTGCACTGTGTTATCTGGCTTAGACCACCGTCACCACCCTGAGTCGTTTCTTCAGATGCATTTGATAAGCTGCAAAATTTAGATTCAAATTTAGAATACATTTATTCAAAATATTTCCACAAGGGAAACAAAAACCATATATCATGGTGTCATTGAGTATATATATGTAATTTGTAATGGAAGCGTCTTATAGCAACGTTTTCTTGCTATATTAAAATTATGTCTGCACGTAGATATCGTTAATACAATACAGTCTCAGTCCACAGAATATAATCATTAACAATTTTAGTGAGTTAAATGTATTAATTTCAATTTTACCTTGGTTGATCAACGTCGAATACGTCTGTGTCGGTGCGGTCACTAGTAGTACTAGAAGTAGACTCTCTACGAGTTGAACTTGGAGCACTGCCTGAACAAATCAACTCGTCGATGTTTACGTCTGTTATAGAGTTAGTATCTGACTCACTACAGACATCATTTTCGTCCCCAACATCCACTCGGCTATCTTGCGAATTGGCAGAATCGTCAACCCTATGTCTCTTTGGTGCTAGACGCGAAAAAAACCTGTCCAATTTCGATTGCTCCATCATTCATGCATCGTTGACCAATGCACAATATTTTATATTATTTTCACTTTCATTTACGAGGATCTAAAGTAACATTAGGGGTAGATTTGGGTAACAGAAGATATCTTTAATTTATAGTGTAATATAATGCAACTTTACACGAAGTATCTCTCAAATTCTCCAAATAATTTCTAAACAAAATGGCGGTACGAAAATAATAACAATATACAACCACGAATATTCTGCTGTTAAACACAACTATGAAAGGTCAACGAAAGTCAATTTACATTCACTTGATCCGTATCACAATATAGGATATCTTATTAACGTTTACTACGCCGGCGACTTTTAATTTGTCGACTTCGTGGTAACGTAGTTTGTATATTTAATCTCCCATTCTGGCATTCTTCATGAAATTTTTGGAGGGGCTAAGCCCCCCCACTTTTACTTCTGGGGGGGCTAAAGCCCCCCTAGCCCCCCCGGTTCCGCCGCCCCTGAATACTGTATAAACTCAAGATACCAGCGTCCAATCAGCTTAGGGTTGGAGTTGCTCGTCCAAACATGAAGCCAAAGCAATTTCCTGCTACAAGTGTCCATGCAGCCATAAACAGCCAAAGGAAAAGTACTGTTCTGGTACCCCATTAGTTTATCATGTCCATCTAATGAATGAACCCAGTTTGGTCCTTTGCTCGAGAAACATCCTTTGGGTTTCCTTCTCTTTGCTCCAACAGCATGTGCATCGAGACCTTTAGTGTCGAGGTCATTCATCACGGCATGAACAAGATCTCTTGGCACATTCAGTCCATGCTCCTGTCTAATCTTCTTGTGCATTGCACGATAGCCAAGGAGTTTACCGGGGCCATGGAGTTCGCCCGATATAGCATCATGCACATTTTCAATAGATATATTTGTGTTTATGTATCTGATATTAAAATGTTGAAGTGTCTATCAAGGGTTGCTATACTCCAGGCATATTGCGGGAAATCAGGTTTCAAAAAGTCTAACATCTTCTTGCGTTGAATACCTTGATGTACGAAGGCTTTCATATCTTCTTCTAATTTTGTATCGTTTTGCCAAGAATCATTTCTAAAATATGAACCAGTTGCCATATTGTATACCTAATGTATAAAACGCTAATATGCCGTACTTTCCGCACAGGAAATAGTGCACAATGCTTTATGGTATACTGTGACAGCGTTAGGCCGATAAAATTTCAATTTCATTTTAAAATTTTTTTTAATTTCATTTTTTTTGCATTTTATTGTGATTTATCTTTTAAAGTCATATGAATTTTGATAGCGCGAGGGCGATAAAATTTCACTTTATATTCACTTTTATTTGCAATTGTAAAATCATTTTTCTCGTTTTGATTTTGATTTGACTTTGATTCTTGTTTTGATTTTTATTTGATTTTGATTCTCGTTTTGATTTTGATTTGATTTTGACTTAGTTTTCATTCTTTTTTGAATTTTGATTCTCATTTTGATTTGATTTTGATTATCATTTTCAAAACATTTATCAATTGAAATGTAATTTGTAATCTGTTTACATTTAAAATATGTATAGATATTATTTTGTTTCTATTATTAACAAAAATATGAATGATAGCGATCGGCTACCTTACAGTTGTTTTTTCCCTTTCTTATTTTTTCAAACAAACATATTGAAAAGGTTATATTGATTAAACCTAATTTAAAATATATTTTTGATGAAAATTTGGACTCATATTCTTTTTCTTTTAAACTTTTAAAACTTTTTCCTTATGATGGAACAAGTATTTTAGCTGATAATTGTTACATTATGAAACTTACACCAAGTACATCAATGTGACTTGCGGGCGCATCCAAGATGGCGTACACCCGTAAAAATCCTCATGTTGATGCAAGTTATTAAAAACAAAAGTCTAAATAGGGTCGATCCTCGAAACACTGCTTTACGTTGGGGTGGGCTTGTCTCTCGCCAGAAGTACTTTGTTCCCTAGCCAAACTCATTATGGCATATTGATGACCATCACTCACTCACGCAATGGAGACTTGTCATACATGGATGTATTGACAGATATTCTAGACCAATTAACTTCCTTCAGTGCAGTCAAATAACCTGGCAACCACAGTTTTGTCCCGGTTTGAAGATGCAATTCAACGTGATGGTGGCCTATGGCATTCACAAGTAAGGGTGAACTATGGCGTTGAGAATGTTTCAGTGTGTGACGCAATGATTGCTGCTCGTGGTAAGGAAGGGGAAGTTTTATTTGCTGGTTCATCATGCAGAAACCAACGAATTGAAAGGTTATGGCAAGATGTTTTCTGTTGTGTCTGCCATATTTTCTAGTATACATTTTATGCGCTGGAACAAACAGGTCTTCTTGATTTAGAAAACCCAATTCACATGTTTGTTTTACATTGGGTGCTTGTAAGGAGAATAAATCATTTTTTGCATAAGTGGATGAAAAGTTTTAATAACCACCCACTTTCAACCGAGCACAACTGGGCGCCTAACCAACTTTGGATCTATGGCATGCTAAGAGAAGATAATCCACTGGCTAATGGGGGACTTGATGATGATCCTAATTATATAAGATTTTATGGTGAAGATCCAGATGGACCAACACCATTTGAATGTAGTGATAATTTTGGTATAGTTTCACCAGTTCAGATACCAGAAACAGATACAGAAGAATTAAGTTTACAATTAACTCAACATGTTGATCCCTTGAGACTTGCGTCATGTTTTGGAATTGACATATTTATTGAAGTTCTTTAACTTGTGGTACAGCTAATGTCGGAAGCGCATACTTGACTAGTAATATTTTAACCAGTGTACTGGACAGAAGAATGGTATATGATACTCTCAAAAATACAAAAGATGTAAAAAAGTCCAAGCTCAGATTAACCTTCCATAGGGGCCTATTATAGACCCAAATTCAGCATTTTTTAATTTCAGCCAGATTAAAAAAAACACAATGTGAAAGATTGTTTGTATATTAAAGTAATGGATATTTAAATATAAAGAAGTGTTGCCCAACCAAACTTATAGCAATGATAAAAATGCACGAATAATTAGGCTAGGTAGTACTATAATTTAAGGTGCAGCTACTGATTGACATGCAAGCAAGTTTTTGAAAACTGCAAAATCCAAAATCCTCAAGTGCTATACAACAATTATGAAGAATGTATTATTTAATTTAAAAGGCTTTTCCTAAATGACTGGGAGGAAAACTATTTTCTTTCCTATATCTTTAACCAATAACAAGACTGAGCTTATAGTTAAAACTAATGCTTTGTAATAAAGCAATAAAACTTTAAAAATTTCAACCTTTGAAAAACGTTAAAAATTACTGCAAAAGTCAATGTTTGTGAGATTTCACTGCCTACCGTCTCCCAAAATAGTTGCTGAGAAACGCATTGTCATACAAATCGAAGAGAACATCTGCTTAAGGTAACTGTAGGCAATGTGTTCCCCTTGGCAGTACTACGATGTTGGAACATGTATGAGATTTGGGAAGAAAATCTCCAAATATTTTCTTCTCCATTGGTTCATAAATTTAATAAAACAGTTTTAAAACCCTTAATTATTACTTTGTGTTATCTCAAACCCTGCAATGATTTGTGTAGTGAAATGTCATTTTTTGAAATCAGTAAGAAATCAGTAAGTATATATGTATATGT